AGATTATACTGTATTGATTTCAGTTCGAGATAAATTGTTGTTTTTTTTTTTTGTTAGAGCGGTTTTTTTTTTTTTTCAAGATTGCATGTTTTGCACTTGTTATAACAGATAATGCCTTTTGCCAGGCAGTTTTTCTTACTGCAAAAAAGAAAAAGAAAATGTTATAGATATGTCAACATTGATTAAAAAGTTTTAAATGAATTTATTCAGACTTTTTTTTTTTGTCTATGTTCTTTAATTATTGGTTAGATACTTGTACCCACAGAATCACGAAAAAAAGTGACTTCCTTTATATAATATAAGCACCGATTATCATAGTCTGATTTTAGAGCCTGATTGTTTAGTTTAGATTGAATGATTTGAGCCAATTTCTGTGACTTTTTTCCGGTTACTGAGGCATTGGTTTCGTTTGCATTGTTTGTATATAATATTGATTGTTTTTTAATTGAACTTCTTTTAACGGAAAACTTTCCCAGGTTAGGAGTACTGCTGATTATGAAATTGTTACAAAAATGTTTAGATTATTGTGATAAACTACTGGGCATTACCTAAGTTGTGTGTCCTTTGGGTACTTTCCTGCTTACTTGGGGTGATTAGTTCACAATGAAGTGAGGAAATTGAGTTGATTCAAATATGGCTGAGTAAGATTTTGAAACATTAAAGTAAACAATGCATTCCACTTTTTCAGCAGCTTTGTAATTATGGGACACCTGACCGGGGACTGAATTTGTGCTCTAAATTTACTATGGACTGTTCTACATTATAATGGCTTTCCTTTATACATTTTTCAGTACAATATATGTAGAAAACGAATAAAATAGATCTTAGACTTTATTTCCCTTTAAATGCTGATCTGCTATATGGCTTGGACAGCTTGTCGTACGATTGTGATAGAAGTGATTTTATATATATCAGAATTTATGCCAAATTTAGTAAATTCCAAGCCGGGACTGGTCAGACGTTGGTGACTTACCTTGCCTATAGGCTGGTGGGGTAATTCACTGCTCATGTGTACTATTTAGGGTTAAAAGTTTAGGACTTCTTATCTTAAACTGAAATAATATACTTAATTTGTTATGCTTTTTTAAAGGCACAGTTCAGATTAGGGTTGTAAATTTTGATTTCCTGCCAAAGACAATGTGGGAATGTTTTGTCATAAACGTGCCATTATATTTTCTGAAAAAATTATAGTTACAGGCTCCTAGTAAAGTTATGTAATATTTGTTATATATTGTTTGTTATTTAATAGTACATGGAGAATCAACTTAATAGTCTGCCGTTAGTAGAGTATCGAGTTCGTCTCGCACCTATCAGGTTCAGGCGAGATGGTCGTATTTAACAATAACGGAGAAAGGACGTTAAAATGAAACGTACACAGTGAGTTGTCCAACCAAGCCGATGCTTAGGAATAAAAATATACATATTATTGGTACTTGATATATCAAATAGGCCTTAATAAGAAAGTGTTTGTTTGCTGCGTCACAAATGTTCAGTTCTACTTCAGTACTTACTTGGCATAAAAGGGCTGGGGTTTTTCTTTGGCATGGGGTTTTTATTTTGAAAGTTTTGAAGTTTTACATACATAGTTTAAAAGATATAAATATGTATTTGATTATAAAAACAGTGAGAAAAAGTATTACATTTGTGATGTGTTTCTTTTGCGGCTAGAGCTTCAAACAAACTATTATTATTACTTTATTATATAGCGTTATAGAAGTTTATGAAACTTGTATATATATTATTTGGTTAGTTCTAAACTATGATTTAAATGCTGAACAGTAGATAATAAAGTATAAAAGCTGAGCACATTAAATTTTGCATTCAAAAAGCTTGGCTTTTAACCGTATTGTCCTGTTAACTAATAAGTACATTTGATAAACTTGCACTGCAATTGCCATTTTAAATTTTTGTACTCATAATTTTCCAATAGAATTACATTCATTTGTAAGCTGATTTCTTTTGTGTAAAAATTATGGCCTAACTTGTGGAATATTATTTACTCTACTCTTTTGGCTTAGTTAGCAGTTGGTTTTAGATTTCTCGCCCAATTGATGGCAATTGTTTTTGTTTCACTGTTTATTAAAACTGTGATTGACACAATTTTTCGATACCATCGTCATTCTGCTGATTTACTTCCAGAACTCTAATAATAGGGTGCTAAAATGTTTCCATATTACACAGGATATCAAATATTGCTAGGACACAATACTTTCTTGAACAAATGTTTGCTCTACTCTTTTACCATGCTGTGTAAGCGCTTTTAGTAGACTGGGAATTTTGCTTATTTTTTTCTTTGCTTTACTCTTGATTGCATGGAACATAATGAATCTGATTTTTCAGGTTTGGCTCTTTTGTAGTTTTTTTGATGTTTATTTAGGCTTATTACAATTGTTTAGATACTGTATTTACTTTGCCTCAGGATCTTAAACAAGGGTTAGATAATTCTGTTCATTTAACAGGGACGGTGTTTTGTATATTTTGTTAGAGCAAACATTACATGTTATAAGCTAAACTAAGGGAATGCTACAGTTTTAAATTGAAGTTTTAGAGGTATAGAGTACCACACTACTTTTATTTCATTTTAAGAGAGATAAAAACTGCTAAGAACTTAGCCAGTCGAAAGAATAATTAACATTAGAAAAAATGACTTTAAGTAAAGTGTTTTTTTTACTACTCAAGTGAAGTAATTATGTTGTATTGGAGATAAAGGGGTTAATAAGTATTTTGCTGAACTGTCACGTAACACTTATTAATGTTTAAGTTTTTGTAGGGCATGTCCATCAGTATTCTGTTGTGGTAATGACATTAGGTTGTAAAGTGGTCCTATTCAGTGTTTGTTTGTCATTGTATACCCATTACTAGATCGGCTTTGTTATTGTAACAATGGCTGATAGTTTTAGTACTTTACGCTTGGTGACGATAACATATTAAGGCTGTGTTTGACATGTTGTTAGCGCTATAAGATTATTTAGACGTCGCCGTTTAAGTCTTTAGACATATCATGATGCATTATGTTTTTATTATACTCCGATTGGGCCTGAGTAAGAATGTTACAATTTTTGAAGTTTTGAATTGTAACAACAGTAAGTTAATGTATTGATTGTTTCTTTGCAGTTCAGTTATTTCTTTTTAGACATCTGCAAAATGCTGAACAAGGATTAGAAACTGGTCCATAAACAAAATGGGCTTTTAGGCTGTCATTTTATGAAGATCAATGCAATAAGAACATTCTTGTGTCGAATGACTTATTAATTAAATAAATTCTTAATCTGCTAAATTTGTGTAATGGAATTGCCTAATTCTTTGAATGTGGACCAATCCATCTCAAAATGATTTGGGATTTCTTCAAGAAAATGCTACCAACAGTAATTTAGAGCCTGGTCAGACTTAAAATATATGTGTTGTATTTGTGAATTTGGGGGTTAGCAAGGGTTCGCAGTAAGGGCACTGATAGTGGAAAATGTACAAAATGATGTTTACAAACTTAAAAGCATTAGAGTCCGAACTAAACGATGTTTTACAAACTTAAAGCATTAGAGTCCGAACTAAACGATGTTTTACAAACTTAAAGCATTACGAGTCAGAAATCTAAACGATATTTGCAAACTTAGCATTAGAGTCTGAACTAAAAGATGTTTACAAACTTTAAGCTTTGAGTCTGAACTAAATGATGTTTACAAACTTAAGCTGACTAAAAGATGTTTACAAACTTAAAGTTGAGTCTCACTACAAGAATGTATGGATGAGTAAATATCTTCACCTTGCAATATAGCAAAATGAGGAAGGAATTATGATTAGTCTGTTATAAGTCTATTCGTGGAATAGATGTTTTTGTTTGCTTTAATTGTTTAGATTTTTACTCGGGAGCGCTTTGAACGGTTACATAATATTAGTCTGTAATCGAACAATTTATATTCTAACAGGTGACCTTTATATTTGAATTAGAAGTGAAATTAAAAATATCCTTCTTACTTAGAGTCTGAGGGCTTTGGGAATGGAAAGAATTGTTATTTTGACTTCAAGCACGAAGGGTATTAACATAGATGTTTTATGTTTATCTTTGATATATTAGGCAAATTTTGTATAATCTGCCATCCAATTTACAGAAATTATTGAAAGTTTTTATAAGAATTTCAATAGCATTACATAACCAGTGAAATAAATAAAATATTTGAAATCAATGGTTATTAAGTTTAAGGGTGATATTACGAGGGCCGTTGCATAGAATTATAGGAAGGGTTGTGAAGAATTGTTAAAGTTATTACAAGTGAAAATCTGGAGTGAAACTGTAGGCACTGTGAATGTTTGAATGTGTGAACTTGTCTTAGAGAATTTTTGTAAGTACAGGTTCATTGATATTATCACAGGTAGAAGGGATTTAGCATTTTGCATGCTGATCAATTAATTTAAAACTTATTATGAATATTAAGCTTTACAATAAATCATTTAAAGCGTGTGTTTGAATAGTGCTTTTGTTAGTTTCATTGAATACAATTTTAGAATAGTGTTAATTTACAACGCTTTAGTGAGTGAATATATACAATGTACATATATTATACAATAATAATTTTATTCAAATATTCATGGATTAGTTTTCATTTGTAATTTTGTATTCAATGTTCCTTTTTTTCTTCAAAGAAAATGTAAGTTATGGATTTTTATAACATTATTTCATTAAATTCTTAAATTTCTTTATTTTGATTTATTCATTTATCTTCACTTTCATGCATGTGTTATATTATGTTTTGGTTTATAACAGATTTCTCTATCAAGTTTTATCATTTTTTTGTGTCATGATGACATATTTTCCAGTTTTTCCATATTTGACTCAAATTCTAGCCGATACAATGCTGAAGAAACCAAATTTGTGAAACCTAAGCAACGCATATGAGATTTAAGTTCAAAATAAGAAAAGTTCTTTATTGTCTTCAGCCCAAGTGTACAAAAGTTGTACTGAATAGAGAGATTCTTAACTATTTTCTTTTCATTTTCATTATCAGCTTGAACAGTCGTTGAGGGGTGACAGTTTAGACGCCAGTGACTCGACATCAAAACCCCTTCTTCAGCAAAAACATTGACTTGAGACGGAAGCTAGAAGAGGAACACGCCATTCAACAAACTACAGGCGTACCAAAAGG